CATAATTCTAGATTCATTGAAATGTGATGATTAGTACTTTAGATATCAGTAGAAAAGCTGAAAATTAATTATGCAAATTAGGTAATTAATATGCACAATTATTTACCCTAAAACTAATCAGGTCTCTGCATAGTCCTAAAGGATCTATGTACCAAGTTTCATTGAAATGCGATGATTAGTACTTGAGATACCTGTGGAAAAGCTGAAAATTAACTAATTATGCAAATTAGGTGATTAATATGCACAAATATTTATCGAAAACAATCAATCTCTGCATAGTCCTTGAGTATGTAAGTACCAAGTTTCATTGAAATGTAATGCTAACTACTTATATCAAATGCTGAAAATTAATTAATTATGCAAATTAGGTAATTAATATGTACTGATATTACCATAAAAACTATCAGGTCTGTGCAGTGTCGTATGACATCTATGTACCAAGTTTCATTGAAATGTGATGATTAGTACTTGAGATATCAGTGGAAAAACCGAAAATTGACTAATCATTATGCAAATTAGGTAATTAATATGCACGGATTTTTACCAAAAATTAATCAAATCTGCGCATATGTTCAGAGCATCTATGTACCAAGTTTCATCAAAATCCAATGAGTGGTTCTTTAGATATCAGTGGAACAGTCATAGAACAGCTAAAAATTAGCTAATTATCATGCAAATTAGGTAATTAACGAGCATGGATTTTTACCAAAACCTAATCAAATCTGCGCATTGGCCCAGAGCATCTATGCACCAAGTTTCATCATAAACCGATGTATGGTTCTTGAGATAGCAGTGGAACAGTCGGACACACATACACACACACACACATACACACATACACACATACACACACATACAGACACACTAACTGCAAAGACTCCCATTTTGTGCTTCGCACATGGGAGTCAAAAATGAAGAGTGTTCCAGGCAGACGGAAATATGGAGTACCCATTATAGACCAGGCAGAGGGAAATGGAGAGTACCCATTAGAGACCAGGCTGAGGGAAATGGAGAGTACCCATTAGAGACCAGGCTGAGGGAAATGGAGAGTACCCATTAGAAACCAGGCTGAGAGAAATGGAGAGTACCCATTAGAGACCAGGCTGAGAGAAATGGAGAGTACCCATTAGAGACCAGGCTGAGTAAAAATGGAGAATAAATATCAGAGGCCAGGCAGAGGAAAATGTAGAGTACCAATTAGGGACCAGGGAGAAAATGACGTATGGTTGATATATAAAGTTGATGTATGAAATATATGACTGGGATGGAATTTGTCAAAAACAAAATGAGTGTCGTCAGTCATCTTGAATAGAATTTACAAATTAAAGAGACGTGCATCAACTATCCATAGTGGTTATTCCTTTCACCAGATTCTAAGAAAATCTGACAACACATGCCTGAGATCCAGTCCCAGACATGTCAAAGTATTTGATTAATGAGGTTTTTCACAACTTAAATGCCCACCAGTTGACCAACTTTGACCGAATCACGAAATCAAAACATGTACATATGTATCAGATAAGGTATTAAATATGTGTGAGGTTTGAAGTGAATTGGTCCAGCTGTGTTTGAGACTAAAATACTAAACATATGTAACAAAATATGTGAACAAGTTTACTGCAAATCACTTCATGAGAGATACATATAAACAGTGATCACAAAATCACAAAAATTCTCAATTGTAAAAATGAATAAAACAGTTTATAATATTTATTGATGTGCTTTTTTATCATTCTGTAAAACATGCATTTTTCACAAACAAGTTATTTTAGATGCCCTGTATTTTCACTAATCCACCTATTTTATCACAAAAATGTTTTTTTTTTAAATATTACTTTAGTGCCAGGGGTCAAATATTGAAGTCACTGCTGTCTCTACTGTTTTTTTTGTCTCAAGTGCCAATTGCACCTGCAAACCAATCTCCCAAAGTTAATATCGCCAGTTTGAAAGACGGGGCAGTGTGCATGTGATTTATACTTATGAGTGAGCAGTCGGCACAGTGAATCATACCCAGAGCCTCGCTGGTATGAGGCTAACACACTAACCAATGTACCATCGCCTAGGTCTGTAATGTGAATAATTGTTGACACTTCAGCTATTGAGACTCAGATAATATAAGCATTGGGCCAATTTCGCTAACATCTCGTAGGATTTTATTAAGTGTTTTATAGTTATGAATACAATTCATAAAGTGATTGACACATTTGTATGATTTGGTTTAAAGAGAAATTTTATTTTGACCCTCAATCATCAAACTGATTTGAACTAAAATTATATTGAACATTCTTTATATCATGCAGTGTTCTCACCAAGGTCTTTTCAGCACAATGGAATTTTTCAGGAAAACAATAAACATTATTGATATGCAAATTATCCACCATTTATATTCAAATTAGGCACCATATTTGGACACAAAGCTGATCAGAACATGGTTGTGTGCATACTTTCAAAACAATCTTCTGTTTGTCATTGTTCTCTTAAATAAAACGAGTCAACTTTTGCTACTTCTTACAAAATAATAACCTTCAAAACTGGTCTTTATTATTTTTATTTAAATTTTGATCAAGACCTGTTATCTAATTAGAAATTATGTCCGCTTGGTCAAAAATTAACCGAAATAAAAAATATAAATATAAACAAGTGCATTTAAAATGATCATTTTAATGAGTTTACTGTATATGACAATACAAAGCTCACTGCTGACAGCTCAGACTGCATTACAACATTCATGGCAGATAAACAATAACAAATAAAGCAAAAGTACCTGAACCAACAGCATAGCCATAGCAAATCAGAATTCCATAGATTCTTGCTAATAATAAACTACAAACAGTCCCTGACTATAATATAAACCAGCTCATCCGCAAATAATGCTATCTATGAAGTGCGCCCTCATTGTTTTCTAATCTACCACTAGAGGGCGAGATACTAAGATGTAACCGTGTGTTTTAGAAGCTCACCTTTTCCCTGTGCTTTCACCATTGGGTCTAGAATCAATCCAGTTGTCAATATATCCATGAGGGCGCTGCAGTCTAAGCCAGCTTTCTCTGCAAGTGCCATGCTTTCAGCTAATGAGGCAGTCACTGAACCAAATAATAAATTCAATGCTATTTTCATTTGAGTTGCTGAGCCCACATTACCTAGAAAAATACAAGAACAAATAAAACCAACAATGAATGTATTTAAAATCAACGAAAATAGTTTTCCAATGACAACTCAATTTATTCCATGGTACTGTAGTAGAAGGCAACATACATAGTGTCTACTGCCCTCTATTGGTGAGTGTATAAGTAGGGTGTCTCCTTGTTTATCATATATTAATAATGTGTTATTGCTCTGGGCAACATATCTAATTCTAAAAGAGCAATCACAGGAATGATATTCACAGACAGAACCCCGATTTGTTTTATTCACAGTCCAGGACAAACAAAAGACCGTCTGACACCAGAATCTAACTACATTTGGAATATCTCCAGTGTTCAAAATAAATATCTCATTATAATTGTCTTAACAGCTAAGGATGTATGTCTGGATATAATATCATTTGTGTGTCAAATTACACAGCAGACTGTGAAATATAAATTGTATTTTTGATGACTGTGACAAATGTGTGGTAAGAAATACGGTTTAGGTTTTAGACTGAATGAGATATGGATTAAGTTTTAACTCGAATTAAATACAGATCAAGTTTTAGTTCAAGCAAAAACAATCTTCTAGTGTACTCATAACAAATATTGTGTTATTTTGCTCGAAAGTTCCCTCAGCAATAGTGAATGTATATAATGAAAACAAGAAAGCTAACAGAGATGGCAGATCCCTCTGGCATCTTATTACAAGCACTGGTTCAACGTATATTTCTGCAATACTTACGCATTATTAATAAGGTCACATGACCACCTATGGTTATTAAAGAAGTTGATCAGACCTAGTGTGCAATGTCTACAATAGTACTTCTGATATGTGACTCTGTACAAACATACATACAGACACTACTGTAAAAGTCCTAACCGCGGTTTATATTACAATGTATCAATTTAAAAATTGGGGTCAAAAGCTCAAGTTCAGGGTGTGGTTTATATTACGTACATATTGCAATCACTAAATGGGCGTGGTCATTTTTAACCACAACACATGCACAAAACAAACAATATATCGAATAATCTTTTGAATAGACTCTAATTTAGGCATCAGGGAAGAGTGAATAGCCTTAATTTGGTTCTAAAATAGGTGTCACGAAATGTTGAAAAATTACAGTCAAACAAAAAAACACATGATAAAAAAAAAAAATATTCATTATATTTAATGTAATATGCTCTTTCTTTTTTTAATGTTGTTGGTAATGAAAAGTGTATTCTAAAAGAAGTTTCAAATAAAAACAAACACGAATGCATTGCTTAGTAGCAAATGATCAAGGTATGGTAGCACAATCCAGTCATGCTGCGTTTCACAAGTGAATAACTTACTTGATTTCATGACTTCATGGTGAACGCAACACAGAAGAGATTTACCAATGTTATAGTGCAATCGTTTGGCTTTTTCGATGGGAAATTAGTTGTTTTCGAAAGACAAACTGAGCATTGAAGAAGAATTTAACACTTTTACGGTGATAACAGCTCATTGTTGAATCAACGAAACACGAACATATTTAAGAGGTGTGATGACAAAGAGGTTGCCGCCAGAACAAATGCACTTTCACTGCCTGCATAAGGAACAATGCCGTTTTGTACCAGGTGGTTAAAACAATGAAGTCAGTTACTGTCTTGTTGAATTGGGGGTGCAGTTATTAATAGATGCTTTCCATATTTCAATTTCTGTCAAGAACTCTTTAACCCTGAAGCCAGAATTGGGGGTGTGGTTATATTCTGTATGCGATTTATATTAGGACTTTTATGATAGTAACCACTATATCTGCCACCTGCATAATGGAATAATGAAAGATTCCCTGGAGTTGACATTGCAAGACATTGTACGTTCTACATACTACATATAAGAGATCTAACAGAAGTCTCACCGAGATGAAGAAATTTCTTGGACATGGCAGAAAAACTTGATTCACAATCTTGGAATAACGTTTTATCGCCCGCTGAGAGTATAATAAGAGTTCCATCAATGGATTGTTTCTTACTTCCTAAAACTGGTGCTTCTAAAAATCTACCGCCTCTAGCGGTAACAGCCTGTAAAAAAAGACATAGTAAATGTGTCTCTGTCAGTTTTTCATATTTTACTAATATTTACATAAACATTCAAAGGCAACCTGGATGACAACAATAGAGATTGTACCATGGGAAACTGTTCTTGATGTTTAGTGATTGTTTCCCTTTTATTTTACAGCCGTTCTGAGAATTATTTGGACAGTCAGTTAGCAATATATCTTGGAACTTTGCAAAACACTTGGGTCTTTTCCAATCTAGACTTGATGGCGCCGTTGTATTGGCACGCCCACAATTGGAGTCATTCCATTATTTTGCAAGATGCGGGTAAAACGCTGATTTCAAAACGATACGCCTTGGTTACCATATATTAACAGGTTATATGTTGTATATGCATTCAAAGTGTTATTTTAAATTGTTATAACCATCCGAGTCCACCTGACATAGCGCAATTTACAAAACAACTCCCGAATGTTGAGTAACCCCAGGTATTAATGAACTCGTCGTTGGCGGGAAGGCTAAAAATAAACTTGTGATTTTCAAAATTACTGAAAATAATTACAATATAATTATAAAAAAATAAAGAATGGTTGCTGTAAACGCACACTAGATAATCAGTGTTCTCCCCAGGCCAAAACAGCGTCCTGGGACGCGACGTGATCGGATTTGCTCGCGACGCTATGTGTTTCCTCCGCGATGCTATTATTTATCCCGTGATCTGATTTCTTCAGTCTCTCACAGACTGTAAAGTTTCCTGGCCATGTAGTTAAATCTACAAATGCATTGTATTAATGCCAATTTCCCGGGATAATCCCCTGTTGTTTCTCATTGGTTGGATATCGTTTAAAAAAAAACAAAAAAACAGTTCTATAAAGACAAAGCCATAAGCCCCGGTGTCAAACGCTTTTTGCCAAACGTATATTCATATGCAAATGATATAGTCACACTTGGGGTTAAAAGCCACATGTTTCCGGTGTGTACGAAACGTATTTTCATTATTATTTTTAGAAATGTAGTCTTACTATTATTCTAAGTTTTGATTTTTATTAGTATTTTTGATATTGTATTTGTTTTTTGAGATCAAATTGTGAAAAAATATATATTTATGATGTAAACAATTTTGACCTTCCCACTCGGATCGCATATCGTGCTCAGATCCGGATGAATTAAGTGAAGCAAATGGAAAATAATATATTTATCAAGAAATCAGGAATTCTAACCAAGAAACGTGTGGAAATTGGAGTGACACTTGTGTTATTTCTATGAGGAAAAGCCTCAATTTTACGAGGTACATGTATAACAATGACGACAATTCATAATTCAGACCTCCGTTGTCTCGACTTGTTCACAATTGTGTTGAATAGACAACATCGATGATTAAAAAAAATACATAAAGATGGATAATTTCAGCTAGAAATACTATTATTCCTCGAACATAGTAGTGTAAGTATCGTAACTCGTAACAGTTGTTGTACTTAACTGGAAAACAACAGAAATAGAAGATAAGCACTGAGAATCATCAATCCAATGTTTAATTTACCAGGACCGAAGAGGGTTTTATCATAGACCTTAGAAAACATGGTTTTATAAAGTTGCTGATTGCTGGGCCAAGCAAAGAAACAGGAAACACTGCGGGACATTTGCAATACTAAACATGCAGTGCACTTTTATTGTATACAATAATTGTATACAGATTGTACAAAAAATAAATAGAAAAAAAACAGGAAAAAAACTGGTCTTGTTTTATTTCCCCATATGACAAACAATATGTTAATTTATGCTAATTGTATGTTAATTATTATGCAAATTAGCCTCGGCTCTATGGAAAATTTCTGGGGAAAACACTGTAATACTTGCAATTCACCAAGCCGACAACCCCTATGAAATAGTAATCCCAAACCACGCGCCTGTCACTCAAGTGGCGGCGACAAGTCTAGATTGGGCAAAGACCAAAGTGTTTTGGAAAGTTGCAAGTCATTTTGCTAACTGACTGTCTAAATAATTCTCAGAACAGCTGTAATCCCGGAATTAAACTGAGAATTAATCCGATAAACATCTGCACACTATAAACTAACCCTAGTATTGTGAAATCTCAACAAAATTGCATACTGTATTTAGTGGTACATGTAATTATGGAATTGACAAAAGTTGTCTATGGTCAAAATAAGTCAAGTTGTATTATAAATCACGACTATCGGAAAAGGGTTTTTTTATGCCATAACTTTAAATTATCACATGATAATTGAAACTCCAAGGGCAAGTAAATTGATTTCAACAAAAGGGCCTCAAATTTAACTAAATTTGTTTAATTCAGATGGTGGTGGTGGTGGTGGATGAATCGGTGAATAGCCTTATACATACCCTTTATCTTATCCAATATGGACCAGTGGGGGATTCATTATTGCTTAAATACCTCAGTTTAGAGATCATGGAATTTAGTTTTTTAGTTTTTAGTAAAATTATATTTAAAAATAGTGAACCATTGTAAGTATCCCAGACCACTACATAACGGTGAAAGGAATGTTAAAACTTACCTCATTCACATCCTTACTTGTTTCTGCATCTACCGTAGACATACTAACAAATCCTTTACCAGACTTAATACCTTCTAAGACACCACCTAAGTTAAATACAACCTGTAACCAAACCATCAACATGCTGTCATAAATCAATAATACACAAACCAAGTATATCTCAAACAAAAAAAACAAGCTATTACAAAATCCTTACTGTCTCTGCACAGAGCAGTCAGTTATCAATAACAATACTTACAGCATCAAATTAATGTTTCCCCTTTTTCATGTCTCAGTTTTGAAAGAGGACCACATGTTATAATATGGAGCTTGAGTAGTTAAAATAAACGTAAAATAAACAGGATATTTCACAATGCAGGTACATTTCCTTCCTTATAATTGGTTGATAAAACAACAGAGCAAAACACCAAGGGATGGTTGAGAAATAAGGCAGGTGAGGAAACAGTGTAACAGATCAGACTTGTAAATTACTTACATCACGGAGGGCTTCTGGGTCAGCTACAGAACAAAATGTAATGTCTGATGTTTGTACAACTTCTGCAGCACTCGCTGCTTTACTTGCTCCAAGTGTAACTATGTCATTACACTGCCAAAGAATTAAAATAATTATTAGTAACAATATAATACAAAATTTTTTAGCACAAAAATAGCCGCCATTCGGCCATCTTGAATCAGATCCTAAAACAAAATGATGTGCATCAAGGTCCTATAATGTCTAATGTATATACCAAGTTTGAACAAAATCCATCTGTAAACAGCCGAGAAATGCTTGATTATGATTATTTTTAGCACAAAAATGGCCGCCATTCGGCCATCTTGAATCAGATTGTGAAACAAATTGACGTGCATATGTATAATATCATGTATGATGTATGTGTGAAGTTTGATTGTGATTGGTCCAGGCATTTCTAAGATACAGGTCCGGACGCACGCACGCACGCACGCACGGACACATGGAGGTCAAAACATAAGTCCCTGTTTTCGGACTGCGTCAAAATGGGGACTAACAACAATGTTTACATAGCACCCAATTTTAACATTTTTACATTGGCAGAGAAGTTTTACCACACTTGGTAACAGAAATGAGAGCGTTTCATTTTGTCAACAAAGCTTGTAATCATGATTAGGATCTTTTCAATCATAGTTGCGCATGACGATGTACACTGTAGGACAACTGAGTATTCACATGTGCGGTTATAGCAACACTGATCAAATATATAAAAATTAATGATATTTACTTTATCATCTGTTCTGTTCCATACTGTTAATGTGTGACCTGAGTTGATGAGGGATGTTGCCATACCATGTCCCATGGTACCTAAACCTATAAAACCCACCCTGAAATCAAAGAGAAGAAAGTCAATTATCATAGTTCAGTTTCATATATGATTCATGCAGATACTACATGGTTACTGTCATATAGTATGATCACCTTCATCAAGTCCTCCTTTAAAGCTCCATTAGAGAAGATATTTACTGTAACCTTTGGTATTTTGCCATTTATTTAAGATTCATGTAATTCTTTAGTGCACTGAGAACTGGAAATAGAGATAGGATTCACAGCTCATGTCCCTACCCGACTGGACGCTATCCTCTAAACTTTGAATGAAGGATTGCTGTGAACTTGCGAGGGAAGCTGATAGGGCCACTGCCCAGGGGGAAATGAACCTGCAATATCCCTGATGCTTGGTGAATGAGCTATCCACTCCACCACACAATTATTTTACTCTTGAGTTACTTACATGTAAGGTGTCAATTTTGTTGCCTATTTTCTGAAACTAACCATATATCAGATCAATTATCTTGGTCAAAGCAGTTGATAGAGAAAGCAAACATTTATAAGAGTCTCAATATTATTCCTTAGTGCATCTACAATTACATTTAATGGCAACAGAAAGAAGAAGGGAAGCCAATTTTATGGACAGAAGTAATACAACAATGTCAGGAATATTGTCTTTGTGAACACAAAAAGTTACACCTTGAAAACTGTTCTAAAGCTTCATTTAAGAAATATACAACGTGAATTTCATTTTACCAAATTATAGATCATGTAACTAATGACCGAATTTTATCATGATTACTGTATCAATCTATGATTTACTGTTGTGTCATTGAGGCATAACTATCGTTAAAATCCTATTATAAACCGAATAGCTAATAGTAACAGTACCCCCGATTTCAGCTTCGGTGTAAAAGAATTCTCAACAAAAATTGAAAACATGAAAAGTACCCATTACTAACCGCACCCCCAATTCAACAAGACCGTGACTGACTTTGTTTCAACCAGCTGGTACATTGTTCCTAATCCTATTCATTTGTTTCGACAACGTGCCTTAAAATATTCACACCTCTTTATTGTTCAGTAGTGTTAGGATGTCAAACACGCAGTGAAACTGCTTTTGTTCTTGCGACAACTTTTGTCAATACTCCTCAGGAATACGTCCGTGTGTCGCAAGTTTTCGACAATGAGCTGTTATCACCGAAAAACTGTTAAATTCTTTTTCAATGCTTAGTTTATCTTTCGAAAACAACTAATTTCTTGATTTAAAAAAAAAGTCATGTCGTTTTCCCATGGAAATCGAAGCCAACAGATCGCACTACATTATCGGTAAATCGCTTCCATGTTTCGTTCACCATGAAGTCGGTGACCTGTCATTAACATATTTAAATGAACTAAAGTAATTTGAACACGTGGACACCATCCAGCATTTTGATTGGTTAATTAGCAACATGACCTATCTGGTCAAGTAACGTCTCGTGTGCATTCAAACTTCATGGCAGATGTTGTATCGCATCGATCGTTTACATGTGACCGAAAAATGAATTTTACTTGCATTTGATAACAATTCAACAAATATATTTTTCGTCCGTTATTATAATCATTACTCAGTAATAATCAACAATTTCAACACTTCGAAAACAAGTAAGTTATTCACTTGTGAGTCGAAGCATGGCCGGATTGCGTCACCGTACCCAGGGTACCGTACTTTTTTAGTGCCGTACCATGATCATATTCTACTAAGCAATGCATTAATGTTTGGTGAGAGATCACATTTACGTGAACAAGAACATGCACTAAGGAGGAAAAACAAGTCAAAGTCGAAACGGGATGCATCATGGACATGACACAACACACGCTGCGACAACTGGGTGATCAGTGACATCATTTTGGGACGCAATTGAACTTCAAGTACTTTGCGAAACTTGCTGCGCGGCGATGCTGGCATCAAGTGTGTGTTGACCGAAGTTCGACCCCAAGTCACGCACTGAACCGGCGAGTTACCTTAGCAACCTTTTTCTTTTGTGGTCCGCGCGCGCTAGTAAAATTGTTATTATATCCCACGGTACTGTAATTATGCAAATTGTATGCAACTCTGTACTGGCTTTCAATATATCAACATCGTTTATTTAGTGCACTGCTTTTCTAATTACGCAAATTTGTTTACAATATTGTACCAGCTCTGAATATTTCAACTTTGTAATGTATTGCTTTCATGATAATTACGCAAACTCAAGTTAATTTTTACTATTGTTAGGATGCTGACCCGGGGTATTGGGTCTGTGAATATTTCAATATTACCAACTTGACTTGCATTGCAATCGTAATAATTATGCAAACATAAACATGGGCGCATTTAAATCATTAAAAATTATACTAGTCGGGTATCTACGGAAAGTCGAGAAAATATTTTAAATACTTGTGATTCATTGATGTTCCAATGGTGATTTTTTTATTCAAAATGAGGTGAACATGTAATATAAACCATACCATGTGTCAAGTAAAATTTTACTATAATATAATAAACTCTGGACAGCGCACTTTGATTGCAATATTCACATACATTTCAACTGAACTCTAATAACCACGCGTTTGAATTATGTGCGGCATTGGGCAATGACCTTAAAAGTTCACGCACTGATATTTAAATTCGGGCCATCCAGCTTGACGTCAATCAATATAGTTACTTGTCATGTGTTCAAAAAATCTGTCAACTCTCACAAATACCATGAACACGAAGAGTTAACTGGGGTTAACTGAAAGGGAACGTCTTTTTTGGACAAAAACACAAGGTACAAGGTTAGATTTATAGAACGTACATGACTGCTTAACTCTGTGTTTTAATAATCAGAGGAGACATTTTAGTTCGCCCATTTCTTGTTTACCGAATTTTTGTCTGGAATGCGATACAGACAAAAATTAAACATTACTGATAACAACCAAGAGGCTCAAATCAGGAAAGCTTGGATATTTGAAACTTCGTAAATAACATTCTTTTCAAGCGTACCGGTAGACTTTATTCCAGTGTAATAAACGTAAGTGAAATGTATTTTAACGAGTCATAATACGCAACAACAATTCGTATACAGCATTGGTTTTATTGGAGTTTTATGCTTTGCGACTTCACAGTGAATTATTTTAACGGCATATTTGAAATAGCGCCGCGCTCGATACAAGATGTCGGACAGGAAAATTGGGGTCTGTAAAAATGTTTGTTGGTTCAGTCAGGCAATGTGTGGACCAAAACATCGCCCACTATTTGAAACATCGCCCATGGGCGGGGTTTAGGATGGGCGGGGTATCAGCCGAATTCGATGAATTGCAGTTACGCTTATATTCAAAAGATTGTATGATGTATTGTTTGTTTTGTGCAAGTGATGTGGGGAAAAAATGACTACGCCCATTTAGTGATTTCAATATGTATGTAATAGAAACCACACCCCGAACTTGAGCTGTTGATCCCAATTTTATATTTGATACATTGTAATATAAACCGCGGTTTATAATAGGATTTTAACGGTAATCAACATTGTTAGCAATCAAATGGGGAGCTGAATGAACGTTTAGACAGGTCAAAAGTCACCGAAATATGAACATATATACAGCAATTTCAAACCATTCAATACAGCAGTAGGATTGGTATTGGAGTTCAACTGTCATCATTCATATTGTTTCTGACACCAAAACAGCAATATTGGTAATATTTACAAACTGGGTTGGTATGCACATGTCAAGATTGTTGCACGACTGTAACAAGTTTAGCCTGTCAGGCGATTGTCGTGTTCATTCTAGTGATTAGAAAGTCTTCTTTTCCCAGTATTAGTTTGACATCTTCTGTTGAAATTGGTTTGATCGAACCTGTTTCATTCGCATAACATGCTTGAGACGTTTATAGCAAACCAGCCAGAAACTGGTATTTTGGTGATCAAAACAATATGGCTATGACAGTAAGGATATGATACAGTGAATTCTTAAAATCGCTGTAACATTTCTGTTAATGATATTCTGAAAAACTCACCTTGCTATTGTGGGACTTATCCTGTCTTTCACAACTTTAGGTTCGGACACTATTTCTTTGCTGCTCGGCACGGCTGCCGCAGGTGAAGATGATAGAGGTGTGACATGATTCACTTGTGTCCTGGATCGTTTTGTTGCTAACCCTGTACTCCCACTACTTTCACTACTTCTTCGTGATGAAATGGCTTCTGAAGTCTGTAATTATAAGGGTGAATCTTCATTTCAAGGGTACATAATCTAAAAATGTCATTTATTGTATAACAATATCTTTAAAATATGACTTATTTTGATCATAAAAACACAAAGTCCAAGTCATTTGCATTCTCTATTAATATTACAGAATTTTGGATTGCATCAGGCAGACAGCAGGGACATTCTAGGGATGGCTTTTATGGTGATTGTAAATTTCAAGTCAAGTGATGTAACCCTCTAGTTTCTGTAGGACCATTGCAACATATCTGCATATGTATAGTGATTGCAGCAAGTCAGAGAAGTAACAGACTTGCTCACTTAATTATGGGCAACATTGGTCTTGCAGATGACCTAGCAGAATTGCTGATGCCGACAAGTGGGCACACCCATTCTACAACGAATCAATAAGTGAACCAACTGCAATCAGTCTTGAAAACTATAATACAACACAAAATTTTTATCTAGCATGTTATTTTAGCTAATTTAGCTATTCTTTAATTTTGCTAAATTCAAGATGTAGCTAACTTAAAATAAAGTATATTATTACATATGTACTGCAGTTTATTTTGATTCATCCCTGAAATCAAAATCGGTATATCCACACCTCATATGCGAACAAACAGTGACACTCGTTCTTCGAGCGCGTTCTACACTGACACGCGCTGCTGGGGCGTAACACTATATTAGAACATATGAGCAATGGGATTCTCCGACCTAAATTCCATCCCGGTTTGTTGCACGTTCTTTCTTTAATATGAAATAATCAAATATGGAACATATGTAATAATAACAGAACCCCACACCCTGCTCGTGGCTTTCGTTGCGTGATGAAC